CGGTTGCACCGCCATGAGCGGCTTCTGGTCTAGGACTTTAGGGGTTTGGGCGGTTTAGGGTTATAGGTTCGGTTCATCTTGAACTGCAAGGTTGAACTGGGCCGACTCGCGACATTTCCCACGACAAGGATGGACATTGCTACTGGCTTCTGGTGGCGTCAATCGGTAAAACCTGCGGTCCGCGCCTGGTGACACCGCTGTACGGCAACACCATCAGCTTGAAACCTGCCGAACGAGGGACGGACGTATGTCCAAAGCCAAACCAACGCCCGGTACAACAGAGTGGTGCTTCCTCCTTTTTTCACGGCTCGGGCCACCGACCTCCTCTTGCTCCGCACCAGACGCTTCAGCAGCTCAGAAGGGTTCGCTGTGCAGTTTTGGTTGCGCTTTGGTCCGGGCAATGCAGTCATGAGGCAGGTCCAGTTCCGAAGCGTCGTGCAGGCTCGTGGGTGGGATGGACTTTAATCAAACGGCAGACTCAACCATTTGCCCAGCACAGTGCGCTCTCCTGCAAGAAGGGATCCTACAGCCGTCACCTGTGCTACTTCTAGAGGGGTCGTGCAGTTGCGACGTCTCCTCAAGTGCGACCCGGTTCAGGCCCCCCGAACCTGTTTTGTTTGAGACAGGGCTCCTCAGTGAACATAGTAGACGTCACCGGGTAGGGTGAAGCATAGCTTCTTCATACAGGTAGTTCTCTGAAATAGGGTCCCTTCTAGGGTCCTTTTCCTAAGCCTGTCGTACTAACTGCCGATACAGTGTCAGCAAGGTTGTGAAAGGACATCCCAAACCGCAGGAGGGCACGCCGAAGCAAGGCTGTATGGACAACAGCAAAAGCTCCAACTCAGCAGATGGTTGTATCGGATCGGTTCCTCAGAATCGGGCTCACTCCTGAAAAGTAAAGCTAAACAAGACGCAGTTACTGGTAAACCGACTCATCCTTTGAAGAGTATCTGCTGCAGGAGCCCTTGCCGGAATTTAAAGACAAATGGGTCCTGTAGAGAACCCTCTGCTTCGATCTGAAAGCTACCTAGCCACCAGGCATGTCTTCTCAGTCGTCTTTGTGTTTCCTCTTTTCTCCCTTGGACTTCTCCTGCTACAGCAGAAGAAGATGTCAGCCTCTTACTGCATGCTGACATGGGGCACCCTAAACCCCCTGAACCCAAAGAGTCATCTCATCTCAGCTCCGACCATAGCCTTGTCGTGCTTCTCGCTCTTCTTGGACCCATGGGATCCCTGATTCAGGATCTTACGTTCCGCTGAAATCTGAGCACATGAGTGAAGTAAACTGGAAGTACATGTTTTGAGGCCAACCAGAGTGCATGTTCCTTGCAAAGGCAGGTCCCCAAACTTCCTTGCTTTCGGCAATTCCTATTGGGAATTGGGGCAGTGATCTGTCCAACTTTCACATGGCCTCACTGGAAAAGTGCACTATAGGATACGGGACAATGCTCAGGTCCTATGCTCCGCATCACTTACTCCGTTATCATCCCCCAGCACAGTCTGCACACACCATGGAGCCCATCCCCGTGCCTCCCTACCACTCGCACAGTTTTTGGCGAGGCAGGTCTACATGGAGCCGTGCCCAAAAACCACGGACTAAAATGCCCAGTGCTCTTGGTTCCTGATTTCTGGGCCCGGACTTCATCAAAAGGAGGCTGTTTCTGGATTACGCAGGCTTGTGCAGTCGGGGATCTTTTTTGCGTTTGCATCCCTGGCAACCTATCTTGCGCCGTGCCAGGCGCCCTTTTCCAGATTATACCTGTAGTCTCCATTGAAGTTCCTTTTGGGGGATACCTAATGAACTCCTTAATATAATGGTTAAACCAAAAAAAAGGAACAACAGTGGAGACTATAGGTATATCTGACTCTATGAGATGCAAGCCATGTGTGGGACATCATCTTGTTCAATCTGTCCTGCGTCCCAAACCTCGGAAGGCTCCAATCCTTCCCGGCCTCCTCCCGCTCTTCCTCCTTGTCATGGGAATCCTGCACTGAGGAAACTTTTGAGGATTTTGGTTTACACTCTCACAACTCGGACAAGCCAGGCGAGGATCCATGTGCGACAGTTGGTGTGAAAAGCAGGGGAACTCGGGAGGATTTCGGTTTAGGGTTTGGGTTTTACGGCGTTTCCCGGAGGTTCAGGAACAGAGGGGTGTATGGAGTATAGGGCTGTTTGTCTCTGCGAATGCCTGTGTAGGTCTACAGGGTGTCCACACACTTACATACACCAACAGGTTCATATGAACAGGATGTAAACCAAGCTGCCTATGTGCACGCATGCATGCATGCATGCATGCATGCATGCATGCATGCATGCATGGATGGGTGTGTGTGTGTGTACGTGTGTGTGTGTGTGTGTCTTCCTCCATGCCCTGCATAATGTGTGTGTGTGTGAATAGGTATACATGTATACACATACACATACACATACACACACACACACATACACATACACATACACATACACACACATACACATACACATACACATACACACACGCATACATACACGTGCACATGCACATGCACGTACGCCTACACCTCCACATCCACATGCACACATACACGCATACATGCATGCATACATACAGGTACACATACATACATACATACATACATACATACATACATACATACTTACATCCATGCATACATGCATGCATACATGCATACATGCACACATGCTTACATGCTTACATACATATACATGCACACACATAGGTGTATTCACATTTGCGTGTATTTGCAGCAAGCCCTATTTTTGGGGCACTCGAACTAGATCAGATCAGGCGAGGTGATGTTTGAAGAGACAACCACCTCTGACTTCTCCCACGGAGTGCCGAGACCCACCTCGGCATTCCTTCAGGCTAAAAGAAGCCCCAGCTTGGTATTGAAAATACCCTACCAAGGACGAGAACTGTGATAACCAATGGTGCAACAGGACAGTGATTTAGAAAGGTTCAGGTTGATGCGGGATAGTTTGCCGTCGCTGTTCCGCATGCTCCAAATCAGCCAAGTCGCAGCTGCCACCTCTTGTGATCCCTTTGTGTCACCTGACGGATAACCTAGTAAAGTCGCCAAGTCACAAGGATGATGCACTGAGCATTGCATTCAGTGCGCAGGCACTTCGGTGGTTTGGTCTTCGAAGATCAATTAGTCGCTCGAAACTCGCGAACCAGAGAGTCCAGTAAGAAACACCCTGCAACAGCGCATTTTTCGGCCGGCCTTGCTCATCACCTGGTTCCCCTGCACCCTTGCCGCTAGAGCTTGAGCTCGACGAGGACCCGGAGGAGGATGAGGACGAAGATTTCCTGACTTCGCAAGAGCATCGGCCTCTACGTGGTTTGAGGCATCACAGCGCATAGAATCCCTTAAATGGGAGTGTGCAGAAGAAAGGACCCTTATATAGCTTTATACTTACTCGGATCCATACAACCCCTGAAAAGAACATCTCAAAATCCCACGAGACTACTGAGCACATCCTACTGTTACTTGCACATCAAACAAGGCCATCACACTGCATCTGTTTCCAGCCCAGGCGACTTTTTTTTCTTCTTTTTCTTGTCCTCACATAAGAACAGCCGTGCAAGACTTGACAGAAGGGTTTTACCGATGCCTTGTCAGACCGGCAGGCAAGATGCATAGGCGCCTTCTTCTTGTCCTTTTTTCGCTTTTTGTCTTTCTTCTTTTTATCTTTCTTCTTCTTGTCCTTCTTCTTGCCCTTCTTCTCTTCCTGCGATGCCACAGGTGAAGATACAGATGCCACGGGATAACTACGCCGCGCCTTCTTGAATTCCTTGTTCTGCCTCTCGGCAGCAGCGACAGCATACTTGTCCAGCCGATTGTTCCTCAGGCAGCAATTTGAAACTGCTTCCTGTTCATAGGACATGCAGGAAATCACGAAGCAATCGACTCCTGCAGGCAAAAGTTGCAAGTTTGTTTTCATGGCAAACTCTGGCAAACTGCATGAAGCTCAAGCAAAACAGGTGCAGGTGCTCTGAGAGCCACTGGCATTCTGCAATGTGTCACTGCCCCAATAGACTGTAGGGCACTGTAGGGCTTGAAAGCGGCGAACACTGAGAATTGAGATCCCAACACGAACTTTTCCAGCATCATCTCCATGGTGCGGCCCTCGGAACTACCCGCTTTCCCCTGCACCACTCGGAAAGCAGAAGCCAAGAGCCGGGCAGCATCGGGCACCAAGGGCACGCGGGCACCGCCGGCCCCCATGGCCTAGCCAAATGCAACGGCTCCCAGAACCTCAAAAAAGTTAGGGTTTAGGGTTTAGGGGTTTAGGGTTTAGGGTGCACCCTAAACAAGAAACTCAGCAAGTTGGCGGCAAGAGCAAGGGGCATTGAATGACAGGGTGTGTGCGCCATGTATGACGAGATCCGACGCCTCGTATCATTTCTCCATGCTGCTTCTGTGCACTCTGCAAAAGTGCTGAACGTTCCAGGAGTTTGTCGCAAATTGCATATACTTGATTTTAATAACAAGCCGTTATTCCCGCAGCCTTTGCGAAAGGCCAATAACAGCAGATCCTGACCCTTCAACATCCTTCAACCCTAGATAACCCTAGAAGATAAAGTGGGAGGAACGTAGGTGCGTGAAGCGGAAGAAGCGTGGACAAGGGACTGCCAGCAACCTTTTCTAAGACGTCTGATCACCTTCCACACACAACATATGTATGGACCCTTGCTGTATACAGATACATATGTGCATGCGGAAATAGACCATACATAATTGCAAACATGCACAATTGTATGCAGACCCCTGCTCTACCTGCCTACGTTCCTGCCAATGCCTGCCTGCATACCTAATTACCCACATAGCTATATATGCCTTCCTACCGACCTACGGCAGCTACCTACATACATGCATGCATGTTTTGCACATCCCTCTGACTCTCCCTATCCGGCCCTATCTCCGCTTCCCGCCCTTTCTCATGCAGATTGCGGTTTGCAGGCACAGAATGCAGAATTTTCAAGTACACAGCTTGCCTCGCCCAATGCCTGCGCTTTTTGGGCAGCAGCCTGATCAGGCAGGCGACGGGGGTTCCAACCTCTTAGACCCACGAGCCAGCAGTAGTCATAGCGATTGCTGCTGCAATGTTTGAACCCTGATTCTTTTGCAAAGTTGACAGCTTCCCAGGAAGTAATGACTAAGCAGTGGCTTCCTTGCACTTGCACGTTGAAGCAACGCCTTGAATATCTCCGGTTCTGTCGTCAACCCACAGGAAGCATTCAAGAACTCGCTGAAAGTAAGCTGAGAAGGCTGCTGCCAGCTAAGATCAACTGTGGGAAACTTTTGCTCACAGAAGGCTGCGCCACTCTTCCTCAGAGTCAGAATACTTATAGGCCCCATATTAGTTCCGTTTTGGGATTCCCGAATAGGATTCTAAATATGAACCCCAAAAATGAAACTTTAGGGCCCATGGGTACCTAGGCCAGGACACCAGCCTCTCGAGTCCCCCGGCCTGGGCATTTCCTTGCATGGACTTCGACATGGCCGCCGAGCCCCCGGACCTGAAACTTTAGGGATTTTTGGAGTGTGGGGGGGGTGGAGTGGCGGGGAAGAGGGAGAGGGGGGGCAAGCAGGGATGCAGGGCTCAAGGGAATGCATCCGGGTTGTGGCTTTGGGGTTTGGGGGGTCATCATCGTCATCACCCAAGGTGGCCATCATCAGCAAGGCTCCCCCTCACACCGGGCCTTCTCGGCTTGGCAAGAAGGTAAGTTCCCCATCATGTGGGCCCCATCCCCTGCGCACAACACAGATGGCTGCGAGACTCTTTTGCCCCTTTGCCGGTAGAGCCCAGCGCCTACCCATGGGCCCTAAAGTAGTTCTTTTTTTTGGGCTTCATATTCAGAATCCTATTCGGGAATCCCAAAAAGGAACTACTATGGGGCCTATAGGTATAGCTTACTAAAGCCAGAAAGCCCCTAAAATTGCTTGATGTGTATCGCAGCGTAGCTCACTGCTTCCCTAAACCCTAAACCCTACTGAGTAGTTACTGGGACCCGGGCGCAAGGCCCATGGTCTCAAATCGGCTCCTGTAGTCATCCTTGAGGAGGCGAGGGCTCGGAGATGAGAGGTCAGGCTTCCATCGGCCTCCTAGGAGCTTGGAACAACCTGACTGGGACTATATGATTCCATACTCTATATTATATGAAATATACTATATACTGTATACTATATACTATACAGACTTAAAGCTTCATGGAGAGTTGGGTTCGGCTGGCGTCCTTCCATCGATGGGACGCCAACAACGATCAGATCCGACTAAACCCCTGCAAACGCCCTAATGAAGAATTTTAAACCCAAGAGGCCTTGAGCACTAAACCGTCATAGCCTTGGCCGAGGCTCCATGTTGTTCGGCTTCGTGCCAATCATGCGCTTTGGCCTGAGCCAGTCTCACCGAAGCCGCAAAGCCGCAGCCTTCCAGAACATCTGAGGCTCGAGCATGCCACCGGATTCGAAGCCGACTGTGTTCATCCTGCTAGGGTGAGGGGTTGGGGTTTCGGGTTGTGGGTGCAGTGCCAGCATTAATTTTAATGTCTTACGGACTGCGATCAGGATTCACCAGCAACTTCTCCGGGCTCCACAGGGCCTACAAAGCTTCTGAGGCCGATTCTGGTCTTAGTCGCAGCTCACTGCATGTCCAACAAGAGGCGGCAATGGCTGTGTTGAGACCATGCCTTTGGGATTATGCCTTTACAGCATGCAAGTCGAAACCTTTGTCTGGCTACGATCATTGCGAACAGCTTCCGTCCTGGCTTCCAGCTTGGCAGTGCGGTACTCGAGAATATTCCTTGCAGTTGTCCGCAAAGTGCAAACGTTGTGCGTCGCTCGTCCTGCTCCAACCTCAAACCACCTTTACATCGGGTATAGCCCAGCGAGCATGGAAACAAACCTGCCCTGAGAATAGCAAGCCATGTGCTCGTGAGACACCAACAACGCAACAACAGCAGCAGCAACAATTCTTAACGACACCGATTTCGACTGACTGCAACGAGCATCCAGGACTACCACTTGCAACAACAACCGCCACCATCACACCACCACCGCCACCGCTGACAACACGCCACCATCCACCATCACCACGAACACAAACAGCAACAACAATAAGAACACCTCACCAGCAGGACCAGCGGTAGTTGCCTAAGAGCTACAGCAGCAGGCAGCCTCACTCAAAATACTCATTGAGAAAACGTCAACTTGTTCGCAACCATGCAGTTGCTGTGAAGCATCGGTTCGTGACGATGGCTACTGGCTACCTCGATGCACTTGATGCTGCCCATGACAATTATGATTGGTGTGTTGCTGCTGCGGTACTCCTTCCTGGTCGTCCACTTGTGTAGCTTCCGACGATTTCAGCAGCAAGCAAAGCAAAATGTCCCCCCCCCCCCCAGAAAGAATAATGGCGCCTGCAAGTTGCGACCACAATAAAACTCACGATTCTAGTTTGAAGTTGTAGGAGGTTAACGGGTGGATAAAGGGTTTAGAGGCTTTTCGAGTTTAGTTTAGGATTTGGGGTAAAAATCTGCAATGCATATGCCAGGAACCGAGGCACCGACTGTGCTGTGGACTCGCCTTAATCCCTACCTGTAGTCTCCATTGTAGTTCCATTTTGGTTAAACACAAAACTTATATTTAGGATCCTATAAGGGAACCCCCACAAGGAACTACAATGGAGACTATAGGTACATCCATGCATTCAAGGATCATTTTCGGGGCCATGGCTTCAAGTGTTGGCTGCTGCGAGTTTCGCAGATGGGTACCGCCCACGCGCAACTATGGGCTGAGGTCGGGTTTAGGGCTCATAAGTGTTTTTTCAGGGTTTAGGGCGTTTGGGGTTCACAAAGGAGTCTACAGCTTCGGATTTTAGGGCGGGCTTATGGGGTGATTGAGGTCAGGGCTTACTGGGCTGGGGAGTTGAACCTTGAGTTCTTATAGCACTCCTTCTGCCGTCCGAGGGTAGATGAGGAGCCCCTTGCGGCTAACGATCTGGCGGCCTCTGCAGTTTGAGGCGGGTTAGGGTACGTTAGACTATAACTATGATGGGGGTCCTGCAGTAATGCGTTGCCTCCTGAGGTTTTGCCAATGAATCAAGCGTCTAAGTTCGAGGTTTCAGCAAAAGTCATGGACCCTCGCTGCCTACAGGTAGCCACATGTTTTGTGGGCTTGGGCCACATAAACCGGCCGGGAGGTTACCCCTTTCTCCGGGATCCCGGAAGATGCAAAGGCTATAGGAGCCTAAATGACGACCACTACTACCTTTGGGGCTCCCTATTTTAGTGTAATAGAAGTATAATACTCCCCAAACCCCAACTTTAAGGGGCCCCTTAGTGTTTTCGAAGCATAGTACTCCACAGACCCCACTTCTACCTGTAATTATTTGGGCCCCATACATTGAGAGTATAGTTGCTACAAGGAAAGCTCCAAGTCGGACATAGGCAGTTCAAGCTCAACTGTAAGTCTGAAGTCATCTGCCTATAAGCCCTGCCGAAGTATTTAATGTAGGGGCCTTATAGTGATAATTAGAACAGGGTTTGGGGGGGGGGGNNTTATACTATACTTATAATAGGGAACCTCCAAAAATAGTTAGGTAATTATTAAGGCCCCTATATTAAGCTTGTGAGAAGCACGCGGAGACGAAGCTCTTCTCCCCTTTTCCGTCTTGTGGATCTGACGCCATGCGCTAGCCTTGAAGTCATCCTGCAAGCCAAGGACTTCGCTAAGCTCCCGGGGATCTTGTCCTGAAAACCCCCAACGGGACTTGTAGCGTTTAAGGTTGCCTCACTTAGGGTTTAGGGTTTATGCTTGTTGCACACCTCCGACAGCGCACTCCAAGCCAAATTGCAGCTCGGGGTTCTACTACGACTTTATGTGTGGGAGGCAAAAAGTTATTGATGGTCATCGAATTTCTTGGCAGGCAAGTGGCGTAGGATGTTAAAGGGCACGCGCCGCTCATCGACAATAATTTCTGCCAGGGTCGCGTGGACCATATCCCAAGCGGTCTTGTAGAAGGTCAGCCCATCACAGCATGCAGCATAAACGAAATCCTTAAAATTCAGCCTCTTTGGGATCTTGATTAAGGACTGCTCTTCTGGGGCCCAGCAGGACTGGTTGCCCCCTATTCCGAAAGACTCGTCGCAACACATCTTCCACTGCTGCAGCCACTGTGGCCAATCGTCCCCCGGCGTCGCCACCACATGCGGCCAGCAATTATGCACCCTCTTCGGCAGCCAGCGATCCTTCCTGCAGGTGTTGTGGATAAACCAAAGATTCGGGTATGCCTCCTGCAGAGCACGGAGAATGCCTTTGTACTCATCGATGCTTTCCTGCAGCGCATCATAGTGTATTTTCTCACACGTCTCTCCTCCGTGCCCGACTACGTCCGAACAGAAGTGGACGCCTACACGGACCACATCGAATGCATCTGCCACCACATCGAAGCGATCCAACTTGGCAAACGGAGCCCTACCCAGACTCATGTCCAAACGAACATGATCCCGGATCTCTCTACCTTCGATGTAATTCTTCGCTACACGGAGCCCATGCCCATCCGAGTAGAAGTGTGCAATCGAAGTAGTGCCACAGCTGCTGGGCCCTGCCTGGAGTACTCGCGGCCGGGCACTGCGAGCTCCGGGCGTTGAGAGGGCAAAACTGTCTTTGAGGGTCAGTAAGAGAGCCTCTTCCATACTTCCGCTCAAGAGCTCACACGCCGTGCCTCCCGCGCCTGGCGCACACTTTAGTAATCCGGACTTACAGACCTGTAAGCAAGCCTGGCCGGTGAACCAGCGCGGCAGCACATTGAAAGGCCTCATGCTGAAAAGGAGGATACCACCGGCCAAGTGTGCATCCACGGGAGTCCGATTTTTCATCGGTTCTGCCTTGGTTTTCACATCCTCAGCCTTCCATCCCTCGGAGGACACGAAACCGTGGCCTGCTGTCAGGAGAAGGTCCAACTTCGAGGAGACTTCGAAGCGATTCACCACATCTTCGGCTGCCATGAAAGGGTTCTCGTAGGCGATACGGAAGCAGTCCTCCACTGACAGATGTAAGGATTCGCTTTATATAGAGTTTCTGTTGCCCTCTGCGTGTTCCGCGCTGCCGGGTCCTGGATCAGCGAGAGCGTCGGGTGAGACGGCCTGAAGAGACGGAGGCCCACATCGATGAAGGGCGCCTGCAGCTCCTTACGCTCCGCCTGGGCCCCGGCACCAGTGAGCACTTGCGTGTCCGTGATGAACATCAGGTGACGAGCCATGGATTGCGCCGTGAGGAGGTGGCTTGCCTTGTCCCCCAGACCAGGGAAGGAGATGGTCGCCAAATTCAGGAAAGCCACCGGAGTGCCCCGTCGCAGCATGAAGTAGGCCAAAGCCAAGGCATCCAACCCCGGGGACGCTCCCCAAGTGGACCACACACAGTGGAGAAGTGGCCCACTGTAAAAGCCAAACCACGCCATCTTCTTGCAGCTGGTCTTCGATATTTCGGAACCCTGCTCCAGCACAAGCAGAACTTGATGCTCCGTGTAGGGCGGATTGCTCACCTTAAGTGCATTCCTCAATCGGCTAAGCCAGGTGGACAAATCCAAGGCGTCAGTTCGGCGTGGAACCGTTGTGATCCAAACAGCACCCAAGGGGTAGTTTCCAGACTGCTGCTTCCTGGGTTGTAGTTTCAGGCCCTCAAGATGTTTTGTGAATAAGCACAGCGTTTGGAGCTTAAGGAAAGGTAAACAGCTTCTCAAATTACCACCCAGCTTCTCCCACATGGCACCTAGTAGGGGTGCCTGGTCGAAAAGCTCTGCTTTGGGCGCATCTCGGGCAGTGACGATAAAGCTATGTTTCCTCTGTCCTGCCAGTAAAGCGAGAAGGCCCCATAGAGGCCAGGCATTGTGAAGAAGCGTTGCTATATCTGGTTCCGATGTCCACTGCATGAGTTCCTCAGCATCCGTGTCCAGCGTCACCACCTTGGCCCAAGGGCGAACTCGGAAGAGGACTGCGATTCCCCAGAAAGCAAACGGACCCCCTAGCTGACCCGGCCACCTCTCGACATCATAAGAATGCCCGAAAAATCGATTGAAGCCCAGCCCAGGAGTGGGCAAGCCCTGCCGGGCCTCTTCCTGCTTCTGCTCTGCATCATGGCCGATACACCGGATAAGCTTCAGGGCCATCACCCCGAAGGGGCAAGCCTCGCGGGCTGCCTTCTGAATGAGACTGCCTCAGCCCGGAAAACCCCTTCAAAACAGAGAGCACACAAGGACTTGGTAGTGCGGAGCCGGTGCTGTTCTCGGCATACATATAATTTACAAGAGAGGGGCGAAAGCCCAAGAAAAAGAACCTGCAAGTCGATACCCAGTGGCTGGAAAAAGCCACTCGAGCGGCGTTGACCCATTCGAAAGCACCTTTTCGGACGATCGCACTGGCCAACTCCCGGGCCTTGGACCAGAAGGTCTTGCCGGCAGCCTTTTCCTCAGCGTTCACCTCGGATGTTGCGTGCTTTCACACCTTCTGATGGGCATTTTGAGCTTCAGTGCCATCCAAAAAGAAACCCACCGGGCGACAGGGCAAGGCATAGCCACCGAGGCACGGCAAAGGCGTAGGCCGCCACATCTGGAATGGAATCACAGCTCCCGTACGGCTCAACTGGGAGGCCCAAGTGGCGGAGCCGGTGCTCGATTGCCTCGATAGCCGCGGGAGATGTAATAAAAGCGCATAATATAGGGGCCTTAACAATTAGAATAGGGTTTTGGCGACTATTATAGTACAACTATAATAAGGAGCCGTCAAAATAGTATAAGTAGTTATTAAGGCCCCTATATCAAATGATCCCAACCTGAAAGAGCCCCCTTGGACTGGGCTAAAAACATGGGTCAAGTTCAGGCATGTAGCTTCACCTGCCACCTCCAGCACCTCCGGTACGATGCTTCCGGCCACGGCCCAGAAGCTGGGAAGCGGAGGCCGCACATGAAGGCCGATCCACGCCCGAAGTGCCCCAGCTCCACCCGCAGGATCTGGCCTAGAGCTGCTTTAAAAATAGGAACTCTAAGTTCATTAGGGTTTATAAAGGGTTTGTAAAATTAGGGTTTAGGGTTTATAGGGTTGATAATTAGCGTTTCGGGTTTACTTATTGGCTTGGGCACCAGCTCAGCTAAGACAAAGCTTTCCACCGAGCCAGGGCGACCCGGAGGCATCTGCCGAAGTGTTGCGGGCATGGCCAATCAAGACCACAAGCTGCGCTAGCAACCTAGGCAGTTTTCTCTCACCCATTCAGCCAGGTGAGGATCTTGGTTTGCAATACAGGGGCCTGAGCAATCAGAATAGGGTTTGGGTTCACATTATACCACAATCGTACACGGACTACAAGGGAATGCTACTGTTTATGCAGACCACTATATTACAAGGATTTACAAGGCTCGACGTCAAGGACACCCACTGCATGGCCGAACACTGCCCGATCGAAACATGCCTTATCTGAGTCAGCCTGATGCTGCCTATCGAAAACACGGCTGCATATCCAAATCAGATGAAAAAACACGTGAAGCTTCGAACCTGCAATGGTTCACGTCGGCACTAACAGCAAGAAGAAACACCATCAGCACAAGGAGAACAACAACAAGAGAGGAACGCTAGCTAAGTTCCCCCCACCCACCCTAAACCCTAAACCCTAAACCCTAAACCCTAAACCCTAAACCCTAAACCCTAACTCCAGAGCCTGGTGAGGCCGCAGCGGTTTGCCCGGGCTTCCAAGCTCGCCAGGACCTTGCCACGCAGCTCGGAGGAGAAAAGCACCTCTGTGCTTCGAGCGTGTATAAAGGATGTGTTTTGGGTGTCGGCTTTCGGTACTTCGGAGGCTTGGGGGGGGGGGGGGGGGG